GGGTGCCGGTCGCGGAGGTGCCCGTTCAGCTCGAGAGCAGGGAGAGTTACTCCCAGAGGGAAGAGAATTTAGGAATTAGCAGCAAACCCGGCGTTAGACGAGCAGGCACCTGCCCTTCGGTCCCTGCTTGTGCCACAGCAGAGGGTGTCGCACTGGGAAGTCAGGTCTGAGGCGGGATGGAGGTCGTAACGCAGAGGAAAAACATGCAATTCATGAATTGTGCATCGAAGCACCAGTTCCAGCACGAGATCGTTCGTTTGCCGTTGCTGGGCTTTCCTGCGCTGGCAGACGTCTGGCTCTGTTCGCTCCCCAGGGCTGCATTATTTTCCTTTGCCTTTTATGGCCAAAACCAAGTGAGAGATGGAGGGGAAGCAAGTGAAGAAGAGGAGAGGGCGTGAGGCGAGGCCACAGCCCCAGCGTTTCAGTGTTACCTTAAGCCGAGGGAGTCCCTATTAAAAAAACCTGCCTGTTCTGGCCTCCAGAGCAGCACAGATGGGACTTCACAGGCACAGCTCTGACATCTGGCTTTGTAATTTCATTTTTAACCCCACGACTTCACTGGGAGCGTATTTGGGAGGACCGGAGGCGGCTTCAGCCCAACCTGCTGACCTCGGGTTTTTCTAAAGAACTTTTTGACATGAGATCCGCTTGGAGCCGCCGATGCTTAGCTTGTATAGTTGAATTTTACATGGCAGTGACTTAATTTCTAAACTTCTGAAGAGTGAGTTCTAGTATTGCTGTCCTTTAGAAGGAGCCCAGTATTACCTAGAATTGTTGGTAACTTTTTTTACTGTTGGTTTTTAGGATATTCGAAGGTGAATTTACCGAGAGGAGTTGCATCAATGTTTAGGTGACGATAATTTATTTCAATAAAACTCTTTGGGAAGCCTTACCTTGCAGATGCTATTAGTAAACTTCCAGGATTTTTTTGGAGATCTTTGGTTTTGCTCAGAGCACAGCTGTTTTGTTTTTACTGTTAAAAAAAAAAATAAGAAAAATAAAATCTCAATCAGTGTTGGAAATTGTTTGGAAATTGCTGTCGTGTGACGTCTCATGCTCCCAACGTGCTTTTGGTTTGTAAACGTGCTTTGGTCCCTTTTGATTCTCCCTCCCTGTCGCGACAGAAGGGGACGCAGCTGCCCAAGGGCGGGTTTGGGAATGCTTTCCCAAGCCTTGGCTTGCGGAGCGGCAATTGCTGCTGGAATTCAGTCGCGCTGTGAACGTGGAGCGGGAAGAGAAGCCGTGTCTCGAGGGACTGTAACAAGAACGTGGGGTTTAGGAGCTGCCCGGCAGCGCAGGGGCAGGAGGGGAGCTGTCGTGCTTGCGAACAGGATGGGGTTCGGGTCTTTATTCCAGCACCGGGGTCACCGTGCCTCTAGGGAGCAGGAAACAGCACAGAAACCCTTCTTGGGGTGGTCTGGGTTTCCTCGAGCTCCTCCTCCTGGCTGTGTTTCTGGGAGAGGCCGTACACAGTGAAGTGAGGATGCGAAGT